TCCCACAAGGAACCTTAAAAGAGTCCAATTTACGTCAGCAGCTTTGTGACACACTGGTAGAGCTGTTCTGTAAGTGCTTCAGATGAGAATTTCTCCACCACTCTGGCTCTTCCTGCCAGGCCCATCGTAGCTTTTAAGGACGGCTCACAGATGAATTTTTCTATTGCTTCTGAGAAGTGCACTGGATCAGGCTCACACAGAAAGCCTGTGATGCTGTGGACAATGGATTCCAAGGGCCCACCTGAACTGACAGCAATGACTGGACACTGCATGTACATGGCCTCCAGGGGGACGATGCCGAAGTGCTCATGGCTCGGTGTGTAAAGCACACAGGTACAGCCGTGGAGGAGTGAGATTTTCTGTTTGTCTGAGAATGACCGCAAGAAGGTCACATACTGGCCAAGGTCAGACTGCTGGACCATCTTCTTCAGTTCCTGATAGTGCTCCATGTTCTCCTGGACTCTTTCGTCATAGCCACCCGTCATGATCAGATGAACCCTTTCCCAGTCCTGAGAAGTCAATCTCGCTGGTAGCTGCACTAAGGCTTCTAGGGCCAATTTTAGATTTTTCTTCCTTTCGTATCTGTTAATAGAGAGGAACAGAAATTTCTTTTCCCTCAGGAACTAGATCATCAAGTTTTTCAGGAACAGCTGAATCAAAACTGGTGACATTCAGAGATGGGTAGAGTACATCAGGGTCTCTATGAGACAAGGACTTGAAAGTTTCCTTAAAAATTGCAGCTGCGAACTGGCTATTAACCAAGATGCAATCTGCTATGCCTGTAGTATACTCCTCTATCCAGTCAATTGGGGCCCTGTACAGCTTTTTAAGAAAAGAATCTCTTGGTGAGAAGCAGATCTGGGAAGTAACAGTAAAATAGGATCTTTTTACAATGTCTGGCCAGCTTGAACGCCGGGATATAGGCAGACAGCTGCTTTAGTAACGTGCCGACCCAGTTAAAGTGCAGTGTCCGGGCCCCATCTGAAAGCTCCCTAAAAAAAGGGACAGAGCTGCGATGTGCAACTTTGGGTCCACGCTAAATTCGACAGGCCTCACTTCAGCGGGCTCCTGCGGGCCAGTCCCCGTCTTTCGGAGCCCACAGCGCACAGCTCTCCCTCGGAGGCCCCGCGGCTCCCTCACCTGGTCGCACACCACCACGTCGAACTCCTCGTCGGCGAGGAAGAGCACGTAGAGCGCCAGGAAGACCATGCGCACGTAGGCGCACACGGCGGTGCCGCGCCTGCCCCAGCCCAAGGTGCGGGGCAGCCAGTCCCCGGCGCAGCGCACCGGCAGCTCCCGGCTCTCTGCGAAGCAGTGGCCGGGGTCATAGTGCGCCGTCCAGATCGTCACGCGACAGCCCCGCGCCCGCAGCACCAGCGCCGCATCCAAAACCAGCCGCTCGGCGCCGCCCACGCCCAGGTCTGGGTGCAGGAACAGCACAGACGGGCCGGCACCAGCGTTTCGATCTGTGCCCTACCTTTCACCCATGACTCAAGCAGCTCCGGCGCCCCGCGCCCCTCGGGGCTTCCGCAGGCTCCCGGTGCTTTGCCAAGCCTGTTCTAAGCAGGTGCTCCAGACCACTGAGCCATCCCACCAGCCCCAACCTTTAAGTTCTTTGATTGACCAGTCAACTGTCTTTTCTTAGCGATGCTGGGGTCAGAGTGTGGCTTGAGAAGACGCGCCTGCGCTGCTCGCGGCCTTCCCCTGCCCCTGGCTGTGGGCTCCGCCCCTTCGTCCCCTCTGCCTTCCCGAAGGCAGCTGGTGTCCCTGGATCATGTGCTGTGGGCTCTGGAGCCTGTGGGCGTGGGTGACCTGCTCTCACCTTGTTCCTGCAGATCTGGAGCAGCAACCGGTTGTTTCCCAGTACCGAAGAAGCCACACTTTTTCTTGGAACACTGGATACCATTTTCCTGTTCTCATATGCTGTGGTAAGTTTGAGGATTGTAGCTATTTATTTATTATTTATTTGGTGTAGGAATTGAACTCATGATCTCATGCTTGCCAGGCAGGCACTGTACTGCTAAGCTATATCCCTGGCAAGAGCAAGATATACTTATTGAGAGAAAGAAAGCTCCTGTCTGAGAGAGGTATAGAAAGGGGACCAAATGAGTTGTCACAAAAGTTTCTTTTTAAATTTATTTTATTGCTACAAGTTTTCAGTACATAATGATTGTATTTTTCACGGGGAGGTACACCTGTACATAACAAGGCTCAATTCTTTTCACACCCCTTTCCCTCTTCTTTCCTCTGCTTGCCTTCCACAGAGTTTGGTTTTGGGTGGTGCTGGGAATTGAACCCAAGGCCTCATGTTAGGCAGCGGTGCTAGGCAGGTACTCTGCCACTGAGCTCTGCGCCCCATTAATTTTCTATTTTGTTTAGTTTTGCAGTTTTTTTTTCTTTCTTTCTTTTTTTTTTTTTTGGTGGAACCGGGAATTGAACTTAGGTTCTTGCGCTTGCCAGGCAAGCGCTTATGCTACTGAGCTTTCTCCGCGGCCCCCTAGTGTTGCAGTTTTTTGAGACAAGGTCTTCCTAAAGCCCAAGCTGGCCTTAGATATCCTCCTCCCTCAGCCTCCTGAGTGCTAGGATGATAGGCTAATAAGTTCTTTCTGTTAGATACATTTTCTTGTGTAGCCTACAGGCAGTTTACCTTTGGAGCAGTACAGAATAACCCAGTTCCCTCATCTGAAAGAGCAGGGCCACGTTCTCTGTTCCCTGTATTATCTGTAGCACAGGGCTGCTTGAGCTATGCCAGTAGAGGATTGGATCTACTTCAGTGTGTGTGTCCTGCTGCTCATGAGAAAGTGAGGAAGAGGAGGGGCTGTCTGATGAGGAGGGTCTTTCTTCTCTCACTCTCCTTTGCTACTAAGACAGTCAGTTTATCAGAAGACTTTGGTCTTCCCAGCTCTTGTGAGGCTGAGAAGGCAGGAGGACTACAGTGAGCTTGAGGCCAGCCTGGGCTACATAGTTCCAAATCAGCCTGAGCTATTCAGGGGGCCCCTGCCTCAAAAAACAAACCAAAAGGCCTGGTGTAGTGGTGCATACCTGTAATCCCAGCACTTGGGAGGCTGAGGCAGGAAAATCATTTCAAGTTGGAGACCAGCCTGGGCTACAAAGTAAGCTCAGGGCTAGCCTGAGCATAGTGAGACCCTGTTTCAAAAACATACACACACGAAAAAAAAAAAAGAAAAAGAAAAAAAAAAAAATAGTCCCACCTGTGCTTCAGTTTGAGGGAGGCTATTTATTTGTCTGTCGTTTTTGAGGTGAGGGCATTTATTTGGTAACTTATGGGAGAAATCTAAAGCTGTTGCCCTTAAGGTCTGTTATCCCTGCCAGCCCCATGGCTGTGTTTCCTTTCTGGGAGGTGAGCAGGAGGCAGACGGGAGGCCCTTTCTTCTCTGCCTGCCTCCTGGCTTCCCTGCCCTCCCTGCCTTGCGGCATCCTGGGACCTGCGAGTCACATCACGCATGCTGAATGTGCCTGGCAAGCGCCTGTCCTGCTTGTGAAGTTGCAGTGGCAAGCTCGGGACACTCAGGATGCACCTAGACTCGGTGCAGCTGGGTCCCTTGGGAAGCTTGGGGCTGATGGTGAAGAACTAATCTCCTTTCCAAGGAGAGCTTGTTTCTGTCAGAACAGTTGCTCATTTTCAGTTAGGGAGTTGCTTACAGTTGAGGTTTGTGCATCTGTCTGCTGTGTAGATCAGGTGTAGTGACGGGCATCTCTGGTTTCCAGGCAACATGTCTGGGCACATGGGTGGGGTTGATGTGAAGTGGCCTCAGCGACCTCTGTGTCATCTGCTTTGCAGCACACCTCTTGGCCCGGGGTATGATTTAATTGTTTGTCTGAGACAGAATATACTCTCTGTATAGTTCAGTGATCTTGAACTCACTTTGTAACTAACCCAGGCTGGGCTTGAACTCCTAAATCTTCCTGCCTCAGCCTCCCAAGTGCCAGGATTACAGGTGTTTGCCACCATGCTTGGCTGTCTGGGATATAATTTGGAGGTATAAAATGGAATGGTTTCTTTTCAGGGCCTGTTCATCAGTGGCATCGTTGGGGACCGGCTGAACTTGCGATGGGTGCTATCTTTTGGCATGTGTTCATCTGCGTTAGTGGTGAGTTGGCAAGATTTTATAATTCTTCCAGATACCCTGACCTCTCTGTGTGTGGATTAGCACAGTGAGATCTGTCTCCGCATGCCTGTCACCACAGGGCCTTTCCAGGAGATTGTGTGATGCTCGCTGCTGTTGGTTCAGGGTCCAGCCTGCCTGTGCACCTGGCTCTGTCCCTCTGTGTCGCCCCTCTGCTCCCGCAGGGCTGAGCTGCTGGCCGAGCCCTGGCCCCAGCTGCTCCTTTCTTCCTCAGGGCTGTATTCCTGGTGCCCTTCCCACTGTGTATAGCCTCTCCATTTCACCTCTTCCTGGCCTGATCTGCCTCTCCGCTCATTTCCCTTAGCACCCGTCCAGCTGCCACCCTGGGAGGGCCCTCTGCTCTGTCCTGAACTCCCTCTGGAAGCCACCTGCCACAGAGGCTGGTCACTTCCGCTTCCACCATGTTGTCCCAGAGGGTTACGTGGTGGTGGAGACCAGAGCCCCTGGAGCAGGCGGCCAGGTCTCTGCCCCTCTGTAGTTTCCTGCCTGCTCATTTCCTGCAGAGGACTTGTGTGTCCTCCCCTCCTGGGCAGGGGCATCTGCATTGTGTGTGACCCTGGCAGGTAGGTGCTGCACGTGGTAGTGTCCATCCCAGAAGCTCTTACTGCTTACTGGTTCTGGTGGGAAGCATCTGAGACCACAGAGCTGAGTTAAATCCTAATTTATTGTCATTCTCTGTGTCTCCCACTTGAGTCTGGGAAAAAATTTTCTTTTCTTTGAAACTTTAGGGATTGGAGTACTTTGGTAATTTGTAAGCTGCTCACCTACGCACATTTACACACACTGGTTTTAAACCTGTGTACATACTTCATTGGCTTTTTTTAAAATGTATTTTAGTACAGGGTCTACAGGCTCTCACTACGTAAATCAGACTCAGTGATCCTCCTGTTTTCAGCCTCCCAAGTGCTGGGATTGCAGGTGTGTGCCACCATGCCCAGTCTTAATCTCCATCTCAGTGCGCCCCGGCAGGCGTCTAGCCCCTGTGTCTGCCTAAGCAGGCACTTTAATCTGCTGAGCTATCTGGTCGGCCCTGGCTTTTTTGTTGTTGTTGCTTTTTTTTTTTGGTTGCTTTTTTTTAAATTAAAAAATACAGGGCTGGTGAGATAGCTCAGCAGACTAAGCACCTGCTTAGGCAAGTGCAGGGACTGGGATTTGATCCCTGATACCACATGTGGTGTCAGTCCTGCCCCTGGGCACACTGAGCTGGCTTCCAAGTCTATGTGAGGTGGCACACACCTGTGATCCCAGTGCATGGGGATCCTGAAAACAGGAGGATCACTATGAGTCCGAGCTGCGTAGTGAGCCCTATGCCAAATTTTAAAATAATTTTAAAACATTTTAAAATAATAATAATAAAATGCAGGTGTGCACATACTGTTTGAGTATACATTTCCAAGTTTCCACAGATGAGTGCAGCCTGTCGCCTGCCATGTGCTTATTGCAGACACCTGAGAACTAGAATCCGACAGTGTACTGCACACTACCTGGAACCCACATGAGGCCACCTGCCCTCAAGCAAAGGCCCAGATAAAGTCAGGCTCGGGATGCCGCCACTGAGTGATCGCGCTGATGAGAAACTGGACAGGCGCTGCTTCCACTGATAAACCTCCTAGCTGCTGCCAGCAGTGGGCTCACCCAGGACTCTTCCCAGCCTGTGCCTGGTGCTGTCCTGAGAGCCCTGTGGGGGCCACTGTCCCCGCCACCACATGGGAGCAGCATGAGGTGGAAAGAGAGGTCTGAATTCCTTAGGAACCTGTGGTGGTTGGCCATAGTGAGATGTGACAGGGTGGTCACCTCCTCAGTGCTGGCTCTGAGCCGAGGCAGGCAACCAAAGAAGGGCTGCATACCCTGAAGCTCTGGGTGACAGATTGTGTGCAGAAAGCGTCTGTGGGGATGTCACCTGTCCCTTTGTTTCCTCTTTCAAAGGTGTTTGTCTTCGGCACACTCACAGAATGGCTGCACTTCTACAACAAGTGGTTCTACTGCGGCTTGTGGATCGTGAATGGCCTGCTGCAGTCCACTGGCTGGCCCTGCGTGGTGGCCGTGATGGGCAACTGGTTTGGCAAAACTGGGTATGCCGCCGCTTCTCCTCCCTTGTTCCATGGCAGGGATGGCAGGCTGCCTTGCTCAGTCTTGCTGCATTTGGGAAGTCCACAGTTGGGGAGAGGCGAGCTGAGCAGAGCAGGCTGGCAATGGTGTGAGTCTCACTGATACGTGACGCTTGTGCCCAGGGAGACAGCTCTCGCAGCGGGCTCCTCCAGCAGAGTGGGCGGAGACAGCGCGGACAGGGAGTCCGCTTGCTTTGCTCTCTGTTTATTTTTGTGGTACTTGGAATTGAACTTGGAGTCTTTGTTTTTTTGGTTTTTTTTCCATTCTCTGTAGAACAAGAACAGGTCATTCCTTTATTGACATGCATAAAATACATCACATTTGCTGTTCTGCTGATGCTATAAATTCAATACCAATTCTCCAGCCACATCAGTTAGGAGCATAAAGTATGTCATGTAACCTCAAATCTCTAACAGTGGAAGGCTGCTAGAATAATGCTGCTTCCTTGCTGAGATCTCCGAGCATCCGTCCCCACCCCCCCCATGGCTTCTTCAGCAGTTAGAGCTGTGAGGAATGGTTTAGTCTCATAAGCAAGTTAGAGTGAAGACATTGGCCACATAATACACATGCTCCATTTTTAAAAAAAATTCTGAATCTTGGGCAACTGTTCTCTTGTAACTACTTTACAGTTTCTAAAAGTAGTTATTGTCCAAAGCTGGAAGAACTTAAGTCTTCTCAGATGAGCATGTGAATGAATGGAGGGAGGTAAACAAAAAAATAAAATTAAAAAAAGATGAGGTCTGATAGGGGAGCAGCCGGATAAGAAAATCAAAAAAGGAACAGCAATTTAAAGTTTATTCCAGCTATAATGCAGGTTATTCTGATTTTAAGGTAGCATGACCGGG